CAAAATAATCTGGCTACAGGCATGCATGAAGCTCACCCCTATTTCATCTTTCCAGTTCCATTGTTGCTGTTCTTTGTCCAAATCCTAAAAGTCCTCGCAGGCAGACAAAGGTCTTTTTTCTCCCCCATTTTGGTTATGGATTTGAATGTGCTATTAACACAGTGGAGACCAAATATGTCATTGGCAGCTGCAGGCATTGGTTTACAATACAAATGTGTAATGATTAAGTCACTTAGTAAAAAAAAAAAGGGGGGGGGAGAAGGGAAGCAAGAGAGAACACACAGAGCAACATTTTCTGATTTTGAGCCTTTGTGTTTGAATCTGGAACAAAGCATATTGTATTTGAAATAAGATAAGAAGCTGCTTCCCACATAGACGGAATAATTATCAGTAATTTGTAGCCAAAATGAGCCTTAAACAAAATATAATTTGGAATAAATCCATCCACCCATCTGAAATGAGTTGCAGTGTATATGTGTATATGTATGTGTGTGTGTGTGTGTGTCATTAATTTATGGTGGTGGGGTGGGTGTGGATGTCAGGCATTGGTAGGTTACTATTGTTCAAGTATCTCTTCTCAGATTATATGCCTTAAAGCTTTGAAATTTGTTGCAGTTCCCCTTTTTGTGTGTGGAGACAAATCTTTTCCCCAAGTCCTATATGTAGAAGAATGGCCGTTACCTGGGCTGTATTTACCTTGAGTCACATGGCCATATATATCAAATGGCAATTAGGGATTGCCTTATTATTATGACACAATGGCCTGAAGGGTTGGGGCGAGGGGCATGGAGTTTGCTCTCTGAGGAAGAATCCTGCTAATAGAAGTTTGGCTTCTTCCCGTGTCTCCACCATGCAAATGGATTGTTCAGCCAGATAAGTGTTTGCACTAGAGCTGGAGAGGTCCTTTTGCAGCAGTATTAGTGCCCAAGGCATTTAAAAATAAATAAATCACACAATAGCTGCATTCAGACATAATAATATTCCTCTCAGAGGATGATGAGGATGCGCTGTCAGACTCCAAACCTTTTATTATGAGGAGTATTCATCAGCTTACCAACTATCCAGGCTGTTTGTGTTGGAACAACCTGCTAGCAAAGTCAGATCATGTCCAGAGAGAAAAGAAATCCTTATAACACTTAACTGAGGAAACTGAACAAGCCACAGTGTATAATCTGAGACAAAAGAAATGGAGAGAGTTTGTCTTGCTTTCTTCAGGCCTTGTACACAACAGGCATCGTTCAGTTTGCAACTCAGCTAGTGATAGTGTTAAAATCAACTAGCCAAGAAGGGGATGCGTGATGTTGCTTACCATCCAGGCAGAGAAGCATGATGTTTGCTGAGGTAACAGATGCCCTGGTTGGTTGTGCAGTTCTGAGGGAGTTTTCTCCTCTGTATGTTTGGTTGAATGTCTCCCTACCGTCTGATGTTATTTACTTCAAGATACTTCAAGAAACTCTTGAAGAAACACCTGAAGTTTCTTGAGGTAAAAAAAAGGATAAAACATCTCTGTTCCTTTCCCCTCAAATTATGCACTGTGTTTTGTTCAGTTTTGCTCCGTTAAGCGTCACTAGGTCTGGACTCCCATTTGCATTATTTAAGTGACTTAACAGTTTGCTGCCTCAGAGGAACCAACTGTAGGATCCAGCAGCCAATGCAGGTGTACTCTGCCTATTAAACAGTACCTCAGGGAAAGACTTCAGGCCAATCTTGTGCAACTTCACCTGCAGGGTGGGGATATGGTCGCCACAAATTTATCCCAGGATATGTAATGACTTGTATATACAGTCTGGTAGCACTTGGCTCCTGCTTAGCTGGAATATATAGTAGTTTTTTTTAAAAAAAAACACACAAACAGAAACATGAAGCCCCATTTACAGTAGGAACTGAATCTGAGAAAACCATTGAGATACTTCCTGGGTGTGGGTGGCAGAAGGGATAAAATGCTTTTTACCCAATGTCCTCCACAACCTGTGCAGGGAGACTTCAGTACTTTTTAATAAAGAATTTGCAAGGAGATTTTTTTTAAAAAAAGTTGAGAATAAATCCCCTTTTAAAAAGCAACAGCAAAAGAGTAAAACAACAGGCTTCTTTTTAAACGGAGGAAAGCAAAGGCAATCATATGTAGTAGACCTTCAGTCTGTTTCTTAAGATGCCCACGTTTTTAAATTATAAAGCTTAAAGAAAAGTGCAAGGTGAGGATGTTTATTGTCGGGCAAATGGTGGGATTTTCTGGTTGTTGTCGTTTTTTGGTCCAATTCCTTTTAGACGGTTGAGGAGGACATTGTTTAAAAGCATGTTCCCTTTCCGCTCCCCTGAATTTCCACCAGGAGAGCAAAGAACAAAGTGTCCCGACTGTATTCCCTGCTCGGACATTGCTTAAATGTGGCGCCGTCAGATATTTTGTGGAGGCCAGACAGGTTGGTTTGAATGTTTGTGGCATTCTGTTCCATCTCCTGCATTACCCCTGCAACAGCTTTTACCTTTTATAATAAGTATAGGCTTACCGTCACTTCAGAGAGCAAAGCTGTGCAGCAAGTAATCCCTTCTGAGAACTGCCATCCCTTCCTATCGGTTCCCTTTTGTTTGAGTGACTTATTAGATGCCCTCTCTCTATCAAGCATGAGAGGCTCAGCAGACGGCATCCTCCCCTTTCTTTCTTTGTACTGGTGAATCCTAAATGCCACATGTAAGACGTGGGCTTGCTCCCCGCGAGGCTCCTGCTGCTTAATTCTTGGCACAACATGTGAGGTGTCTTTTAGAGGCCCCGTCTACCTATCTGCTCAGCTCCCTAACCTCTCTAGAGCCGAAACGATTTGATGCAACGAAAAACTAATCCATCCAGCACGCATCCATGTGCCCTGAATAGCAGGCATGACAACCGTGTAATCAGAAATAGAGATGTATGGGAGTACTGTGTTGCACAGGCCGCATTTTCCACATCAGGCTCCTGCCAAAGTGGGGGGTGGGGGTGGGAGGCCTTTTAGCTGGAACTTTTGCCAAAATTCCTGCCTTAATCAAGACCTGAGATCCACATCGCTCCTTAAACACCTACAAGACAGGCAATGTGCATAGGTGTCTCCTTCCGTAGTTTCCCCTCTTTCCAAAAGGGGAAACAGAGACAGAGCACAATTCAAAGTGTTGGTGCTGACCTTTAAAGCCCTAAACGGCCTCGTTTACCTGAAGGAGCGTCTCTACCCCCATCGTTCTGCCCGGACACTGAGGTCCAGCGCCAATGGCCTTCTGGCAGTTCCCTCGCTGTGAGAAGCCAAGTTACAGGGAACCAGGCAGGGGGCCTTCTCAGTAGTGGCGCCCGCCCTGTGGAATGCCCTCCCACCAGATGTCAAAGAGAAAAACAACTACTAGACTTTTAGAAGACATCTGAAGGCAGCCCTGTTTAGGGAAGCTTTTAATGTTTGACGGACTATTGTATTTTAATATTTTGTTGGAAGCCGCCCAAAGTAGCTGGGGTAACCCAGCCAGATGGGCGGGATATCAATCAATCAATCATCATCATCATCATCATCATCTGTTAATTGCAATAGGAGGGAGGTGACAGTTGCCTCATTTTCTTCAGGATGTATTTTATTATTTGTTTTAAAATGGTTCTAAATGTACATACATACATACATCCCTCTCAGCTGCGTATGAAAATACAACATGAACGCATTAAAGCAGCATCATAAAAACAGAGATAGAAAATCAGAAAAAAACCTTAGCAAAGCCATATTATAAATATGGATAAAAGCAGGAATTCAGTCATAACAGTGTCCAATCAGGGAAAGCCTTGGAAAAGTGGGGGTGAGTGAGGAGAGAGCCTTTACAAGTTGTCCGAAGGAATTGATTGATGGCGCCTCATGTTTGGCAGAAGGAAGGGCATTTCAGAGTGCAGGGGCGATGACAGGAAATGCCAATTTTTGGGTCACCACCCTGGTTCCTTGAGGAAATTTTTCCCAGATGATCTAAGTCATCTTACAGGTCTGTACAGGAGTAGGATGGGCCCAATATAAGCATGTAATAAGTCCCATAATTTAACTCCCCTTAGACCCTTCCCTGAGGGGACGCAGGTGGCGCTGTGGTCTAAACCACTGAGCCTCTTGGGCTTGCTGATTGGAAGGTTGGTGGTTCAAATCCCCGCGATGGGGTGAGCTCCCGTTGCTCGGTCCCTGCTCCTGCCAACCTAGCAGTTCGAAAGCACGTCAAAGTGCAAGTAGATAAATAGGTACCACTCTGGCGGGTAGGTAAATGGAATTTCCGTGTGCTGCTCTGGTTTCTCCAGAAGTGGCTTAGTCATGCTGACCACAAGACCTGGAAAAACTGTCTATGGACAAACGTCGCGCCCCTCGGCCAGTAAAACGAGATGAGCGCCACAACCCCAGAGTCGTTCGTGACTGGACTTAACTGTCAGGGATCCTTTACCTTTTACACCCTTCCCTGAACATATTATCTCCCTGTGTGAACAAATAAGAATGAAATTGATCTGAGCCAGAAATGACATGTGTAAACTTTGCACAACTAAACCAAACTGTGAGTTTTCTCTTGTTCAATTCATTCAGTTGCTAAGTGGAATGTTTAGGTTTGTGGCCTCTGTATGAATGTGTTGTTTGTGATTGTATTTCACATGCTTGGGTAGGTGATGGGAATCCTCATACCTCAAAGAGTTGTGTCTCTTCTTATGCTTTTCTGCCTCTGGCCCGCTCCCAGCAAAGTCTCACCCTCCGTCAGCTTAATATTATCCTCTGGCGAGCTGAATTATGCAGCTGAGATGACTATATGAATTCTAAAGTTGATATGGAGACGAAGTCAGATTATCCTCAGGCACCTGCACCCTAACAGTCCTTTCCCATTCACATACATTCAGCGATAATGGATCCTGAAGTGGCCGGGCCAGCAAACTAGCTCCTTCATGGTATCACCTAAAATAGATGACATAATAAAGCCAATACTCCTGGCAGCTTCAGTGTGTGTTCCACTTCTGAAGCGGAGACAAAGAGCTTTTGCACTGCTAAATGGCCTTGGTCCTGTATACCTGAAGGAGCATCTCCACCCCCATCGTTCAGCCCAGACACTGAGATCCAGCGCCGAGGGCCTTCTCGTGGTTCCCTCATTGCGAGAAGTGAGGCTACAGGGAACCAGACAGAGGGCCTTCTTGGTTGTGGCGCCTGCCCTGTGGATCGCCCTCCCAGCAGATGTCAAAGCAATAAACAACTATTTTACTTTTAAAAGACAACTGAAGGCAGTTTTAATGTCTGATGCTGTACTGTTTTTAATATTCAGTTGGAAGCCGCCCAGAGTGGCTGGGGAAACCAGATGGGCAGGGTATAAATAATAAATTATTATTATTATTATTATTATTAAAGGCAAAAAATATTCTCAGCATAGGGATGCCTGTATGCTGGGAGCACTTTTTTTTAAAAAAAACTGTTTTGAAGAGGGCTGCTCCCCTTAGGTCATGGTAGTCACCGACACTTCTCATTTGAGCAGCTCTTCAGAATTTCAGACCTGGATATTCTCCATCCCCTCTTTCTTCCACTATCAAATTGGTGTAAACTATCAAATTGGTGTATGTTGTATGTATTTAACCCAAGAAGGGGAATGTGAGATGAATGTGTCTTTGTTAACAGCCTTTGAGAGTGAGAGCATTTGGTATTACGCAAGCCATTTATTGGGGTAACCAAAGCAGGATCTGATTGTCCAGGAGGGAGACCAGTCTGAGAACCCTAGGCACACTACCTCAAGTTGTATGATGGAAGAAGGCAGATCATGCATATAATAAAAATTTAGTATGAGCAGCTAAGGTAGGAGATCAGTTATAACAACCCTTGAGCAAAACTGCCAATGAGATGATACATTTGGGGTGCTTGCTCTTCGGGAACCATTTTAAAAGGCTCTTTGTCAAATACTTTGACAAAATCAGCAAGGAAATCCCCTGCTGTCCTGGACAGGTGTTGCTGCCCCCCCCATTGCTGCTGGGAGCAAAAAGGCCACTAACTTAGTGAGGAGAGAACCCAATACCAGCTACTTGGAAATTGGGATGCCTGCATTTAGGAACTGAAAAAGCTCTCCCTGTCTCCCATCACCCTGAAGGAGATATTTTCAGGAATCTTTGGAGTTGCACTTCAAAATGCAAACAACTTAGCTTCAAAGGGGTTCAGTCTGCAAATATCACCCTAAAATTCGCAAAAGTGAATTTTGCAAATATGGCTGTGTTCTACTTTCAGAGGCAGTGAGGTCTTGAATACCACTTTCTGGGAGTCACATGCAAGGAGAGGTGAAGAATTATGCATGGAGTTCAGAGTACATAATGCAACTTTTCATTTAATCAAGATATAGTTTTGAAAAATGAAGCAACCAACGGGCATGGTGATAGGTGAAAGTGAAAGACAGAATCTGAAGCAGAGATGGCTGTGAAGGAAAAAAAAATCATAGATTTGAAAAGAAATAGCGTATTATCCCTCGTTTGCTTTTTTAAAAGCAGAGCCTTTGTGCTCTTGATCTCTGCAGGCCAGTATGCAGCTTTAACATGAAGCAATGCTAATGAGCATTTGGAGCCGTTAATTTATGATGCATCTGACAGCATTGTAGTGAATTGGGTATGAGATGCATGTGATTATGTCGGCATGCTGAAGAATAAACCAGCTGCTATTTGTTCTGTGAGCATACAGAGAACACCCTCTCGTTAATGGCCCATAGCATGATCTGGCATCTGGTAAACTAATACGTTGTCATCTTTACCATGAAAGTCGCCACAAATCATTAATGAATGCAGCAACCATTCAACTTCTTATGTTGTCTGAAACACACCAATTACTGTAAAAGTGTTCCTATTAGCAGCATGATTGAATGATAGCAACCGGAGAGTAACTTGTTAGCACAAACTCTTGTTGTAGAGACAGTAATGAACTGCTCACTCCAGCACTTGTTATTCCCTTTTAATCAGGAAGGATGGTTAGAGTTGATTATTTATATTGGTACTTTGCATCAGCACCCAAGGTAACAAGCACAAAACTATTTCTTGGATGCTTCCACTGATGGTATCCACGGCTGGCTTTTGCAAGAGACAGGAAGGCAACAGGATGGGCTGGTGATCATAAAACAGAATAATAGAATCATGGAGTTGAAGGGACCCCAAGGGTCATCTAGTCTTAACTCCTCACAATGCAGGAATCTCAACTAAAGCATCAAAGACAGATATCCATCCAACCTCTTCTTAAAAACCTCCAGTGAAGGAGAGTTCACAATCTCCTGAGGGAAAGGAATGCTGTGATCACCAATAGTCAGCATGGATTTCTGAAAAATAAGTCATGTCAGACTAACCTGATCTCGTTTTTTGACAGAATTACAAGCCTGGTAGATGAAGGGAACGCAGTGGATGTAGCCTACCTTGATTTCAGCAAGGCATTTGACAAGGTGCCCCATGATATTCTTGTAAAGAAGCTGGTAAAATGCGGTCTTGACTATGCTACCACTCAGTGGATTTGTAACTGGCTGACTGACCGAACCCAAAGGGTGCTCATCAATGGTTCCTCTTCATCCTGGAGAAGAGTGACTAGTGGGGTGCCACAGGGTTCTGTCTTGGGCCCGGTCTTATTCAACACCTTTATCAACGACTTGGATGATGGACTCAAGGGCATCCTGATCAAATTTGCAGATGACACCAAACTGGGAGGGGTGGCTAATACCCCAGAGGACAGGACCACACTTCAAAACGACCTTGACAGATTAGAGAACTGGGCCAAAACAAACAAGATGAATTTTAACAGGGAGAAATGTAAAGTATTGCACTTGGGTAAAAAAAATGAGAGGCAGAAATACAAGATGGGTGACACCTGGCTTGAGAGCAGTACATGTGAAAAGGATCTAGGAGTCTTGGTTGACCACAAACTTGACATGAGCCAACAGTGTGACGCGGCAGCTAAAAAAGCCAATGCAATTCTGGGCTGCATCAATAGGAGTATAGCATCTAGATCAAGGGAAGTAATAGTGCCACTGTATTCTGCTCTGGTCAGACCTCACCTGGAGTACTGTGTCCAGTTCTGGGCACCACAGTTCAAGAAGGACACTGACAAACTGGAACGTGTCCAGAGGAGGGCAACCAAAATGGTCAAAGGCCTGGAAACAATGCCTTATGAGGAACAGCTAAGGGAGCTGGGCATGTTTAGCCTGGAGAAGAGGAGGTTAAGGGGTGATATGATAGCCATGTTCAAATATATAAAAGGATGTCACATAGAGGAGGGAGAAAGGTTGTTTTCTGCTGCTCCAGAGAAGCGGACACGGAGCAATGGATCCAAACTACAAGAAAGAAGATTCCACCGAAACATTAGGAAGAACTTCCTGACAGTAAGAGCTGTTTGACAGTGGAATTTGCTGCCAAGGAGTGTGGTGGAGTCTCCTTCTTTGGAGGTCTTTAAGCAGAGGCTTGACAACCATATGTCAGGAGTGCTCTGATGGTGTTTCCTGCTTGGCAGGGGGTTGGACTCGATGGCCCTTGTGGTCTCTTCCAACTCTATGATTCTATGATTCTATGAATGTGTTCCACTGTCAAATAGCTCTTACCTTCAGAAAGTTCTTTCAGATGCTTAGTCTGGTAACCTCGAGGTTAGATTACTGCAATGCGTTATACGTAGGGCTGCCTCTGAAGACGGTTTGGAAACTTCAGCAGAAGTGCAGAATTCAGCAGCCAGGTTGCTCACCTGGGCAAGATGGGTTAAGCATATTACACCAATCCTGGTCTGACTGCACTGGCTACCAATTAGGTTTCGGACCACTTCAAAGTGATGGTTTTGACCTATAAAGCCTTAAATGGCTCAGGAGTGCAATACCTCAAGGACCACCCCATTAGATATGAACCTCCCCAGACCATGAGAACATCTACTGAGGCTCTTATTTGTGTGCCTCCTCCACAAGAGGTCTGGAGGGTGGAAATACAAGAACGGGCCTTTTCTGCAGTGGTTCCCTGCTTGTGGAATGCTCTCCCCAGTGGAGGGTTCGGCTGGCACCTTCATTATACATCTTTAGGTGCCAGGCAAAAGCATTTCTCTTTAACCGGGCCTTTGGCTGATTGACATCCAATGTCCTTTTAAAATGTGTTGGGGAGGGAGGGTTATTGGGTTGCTTTTATTATGTATTTTTATATTGTGATTTTTATATTGTGAACCACCCTGAGGCCTGCAGGTATAGGGCTGTATACTACTACTAGTTTAGGAGGCTTCTTTGGTCAGAACCGAGTACACACTTCCAAAGTTAATGCTAAATACATTACTTCTGGTAAATAGCTGCTAGAGAGCCATGAAAATTTGTGTCCCAGGCATTTTCTGAAATCCAAGTGGCGCATTGGTTGCCAGATGTGAGTCCCGCCCGCCCCTTCAGCACTCCTACCCAACTGCTTACTGAGTTGTGTATGTTCTGTGGTTTGTTTGACATTCTGAACTGGCTTAGGAAAATGGTGTTTGGTTTCCACAATACAGTTGACAATTACGAGCTGGATAAATCTGTGTTTTCCACCATGTAGTAATGAACTTTCGGCGCCTTGCTAACTGGGAGCCATGAATATATGGAACTGTCTTATAATTCACTTGGCTGAACAGCTGTCTAGGGCCCAAATGGAGGTCTTTCCTGATCGATTCTCAATTGGTGTATGCCAGGGATTGAACTGTGGACCTTCAACAACAAGCTATGCCCTGCGACCCCTTCTGGAAGTTGCAGCTAAATGACCATAACGTGGGAAGTGTTTACTTTGCAGCTGTTGATTGATGAAATTGCAAAAAGGTGTCGTGGAGGGTGGCATGGGAACGGAATAAGGAATACCTCTCATTGGTTGGCAATGTGAAGTGGCTACGCAGAACCACTCATTTTAAAATAGGACTGTGAGGTAGATTTTGATTGCAATTGATGCCTGGTAATGGACCCTCATATAACTCAGGCTGGCACCAGATCCATAAAATGCTTTTGCAGTCCAGAGCGAAAAGCTATCTCAAGCTCTAGGTCTGCAGCTGAGACTGTAAACACAAGCAAAATCTACTCCACAGTTCCTTTTACCAAATGGAGGAGTATGCGAGAGGGAGACCTGGGAGCTGATTATTCACAGATCCTGGGTCTTTACATTCCTGAAAGCAGGGAAGTCAGCCAGAAGGCTATAAATCAACGATTGAGCTGCGCCAGGCAGTGAGTGAGCTTAGTAATGAGTGGCATCATGCTACAGCATTGTCTATTCACTTTAGAATGATAAAATAAAAGGCTGTGTGTCTTGGAAAGAGTAACAGCCTTATTCTTTTTGCCAGCTAATGGTGGACCCATTATTTGAAATGGTAGAGCATTTAACTCAGGGATCAGTAAGCGGGATATTCCTTTTTACCCCTTTCCCTGATAAAATGTTTGGCATTTTAAACAGGGCTCACACCAGATTAAATTAATTTTAGCCTAGAGGTGGGGAACCTTTGGCTCTCCAGATGTTGCTGGACCACAACTCCCATCACCCCTAGCCATTGGCTATGCTTGCTGAGCCTGATGGGAGCTGTAGTTCAGCAACATCGAAAGGACCACAGGCCCCTCCTCCTGTTTTGCCCAATTATTTGCATTTGAATTGATGAATGGTGCAGTCCCAACCATAGATCTTCTGGGATGAGTGAGTTGGAATGTGGCAGGTATCTGGCAACTAGGTGGTATCTAGGCTAGCAAAAGAAGAAAAAAAGAAAAAAGGTGCTGTGTTGTTGTTTAGTCGTTTAGTTGTGTCTGACTCTTCGTGACCCCATGGACCAGAGCACGCCAGGCACTCCTGTCTTCCACTGCCTCCCACAGTTTGCTCAAACTCATGCTGGTAGCTTCGAGAACACTGTCCAACCATCTCGTCTTCTGTCGTCCCCTTCTCCTTGTGCCCTCCATCTTTCCCAACATCAGGGTCTTTTGCAGGGAGTCTTCTCTTCTCATGAGGTGGCCAAAGTATTGGAGCCTCAGATTCAGGATCTGTCCTTCCAGTGAGCACTCAGGGCTGATTTCCTTCAGAATGGATAGGTTTGATCTTCTTGCAGTCCATGGGACTCTCAAGAGTCTCCTCCAGCACCATAATTCAAAAGCATCAATTCTTTGGTGATCGGCCTTCTTTATGGTCCAGCTCTCACTTTCATACATCACTACTGGGAAAACCATACGGACCTTTGTTGGCAAATTGATGTCTCTGCTTTTTATGATGTTGTCTAGGTTTGTGCTGTAGTTGCTTTGAAACCATTTCAAAGGCTTGTTCTCATGTGGGTCTGGCTCAAGTGGAAGTGTATCCAGTGTTCACCTCCAGATCCCATTCCCAAAACAGATTCCTCTGCTCATTCTGTCTGTCAAGGAAGTGTTCTGAAGCCTCAAGGCTGTATAAATCTAGCGAAACAGTACATATCTTGAAATAACACGAACAGCACTGGTAGGCGTGGTGTTGTCAACCCTTTGGAGAGCAGCAAGTGTCGGCAACCACTGGCATATATGTAAGCCCTCTGACTGTAGTCCCCCCATTACTTCTCTTCATTTCAGTTTCGTGTCAGAGGTCCTTTTTATTGCCATTACACTAGCTGCATATTGTCTGGCGCTCTGGGCTGTACACAGGAGTAAAATGTGCAAGATTTCTCTCTCTCTTCTCAAGATGGAGCGCGACTAGAAAATCCTATTTTCCAAAGGCCAGTCACCTCTCTCTGCACAATAATTCTGTCCTTCAAGTACTCGTTTCCTTTTTAAAGTTTATATCAGTAGTTGGAAAGGCTGCCTGAGGCGGTTTATTTTCTGTTACAACTCTTCTCTGTGTAAAGCATTTCCTCCTAAATCCTTTTAATGGATGACCTTTTCTTCGCTTAAGTTCATGCCCTCTTTTTTCTTTTCTCTGACGCGATTGCCTATAACTTTATATGGGGGTGCTGGTTTTTCCCCCCTCTTTGCTTTTTTTGTTTGTTTTGTTTTGTTTCGCTTGGAATAGTAACCAGTGCTTTGGAATTGTAACCAGTTAATTTCTAGTCTTTTAGAATGGAGACCTAGCTGCAATAAGCCCATGGCATATTCAAGGCTTGGAATTGTCACAGGGTGTAATCCCAGCTCAGGGTCCATTGGAATGAGCAGTGGGAGTCAGTAACCTCTGCACTGTCCAAAATAATTCTGTCAGCTGGCTACTAGAGCACACGATTCAAGCTGCAAAATGAGGCTTTTTGTATCAACCACCTGCTTCATCTTACCATTCCATAGTGAGACCAAATTTTGGATATTGAAGTCATCCATGGCTGCATTACAGAGGATAATCCTTAGTTTGAAGCAGAAGAAGAAGAAGAAGAAGAAGAAGAAGAAGAAGAAGAAGAAGAAGAAGAAGAGTTTGGATTTGATATCCCGCCTTTCACTCCCTTTAAGGAGTCTCAAAGCGGCTAACATTCTCCTTTCCCTTCCTCCCCACAACAAACACTCTGTGAGGTGAGTGGGGCTGAGAGACTTCAAAGAAGTGTGACTGGCCCAAGGTCACCCAGCAGCTGCATGTGGAGGAGCGGAGACGCGAACCCGGTTCCCCAGATTACGAGACTACCGCTCTTAACCACTACACCACACTGGCTCTCGCACAGTCTGATCCAAGTCCCGTCTATAGATAGACCACTGTTAGGGTGACGGAGAGCGGTGGTTTTGAAGCTGCTCATGAACAGTTAACG